GCAGCATTTTATGCGTAATAATTTTCTTTAATTTACATAAAAATCTGTACACACATTTACGCATAAAACATGTTTAAAGTATTTTTATGAGTTTTGACAATAGTAATTCATTTGTCTCACAAAGCATTTAAAGATGTTCCCACTAATATGTGAACGCCGGAGAGCTATGCTCTGTGCGTTTACGTACAAAATTACTTGTAGTTACTAGTAAAAGTTTTTTGATTTTGCGTTCTTGCGCGCATAAAAGATATTACCGCGTATCGATCTTAAGTTTGAAAAATATTCCAGATAAAAGTTGAACTGTTCTAGCTCACTAACAAAGAAAATATTGCGCCTTGTTTATATTTTTTGCCGAGAATGTGTAGAAAAAAAACATTCTCATAACAATTTATTTTTCTCTTGTTCGACTGTGCGCTTGCACCAAAAACGTTGGTCCCGATTTCCAATGAAACAAGTACAAATATTTTGGCTTTCTATATATTGTGTTTTCGTAAACAATTGTGTTTCAGTTAAACATTTTAATGAACTTACATTTGTCATGTTATAGTCAATGTAATCGAGCCCGTTAAACTTCTCTTCATCCGGCGGACGTAATGGCAGAGCGCGAGTGCCTATTTTTGAATCGTAAAAGTTGATCTGATTATTTTCTGGATCATTTCGAGCATATGCATATACAATGATTTGTGTGCCTGACTATAAACGAGAGGAAAAAACACAATGCATTTGACCGATATTGCTATTAGTTGGGACTAACCCTAATTGGAATATCCATTGGGTCACATGTGTCTAGTTTTCGTTTGATTTGTATTGCTGTCCAACCACGTTTCTCTTTACCGTTCAACGGGAACCAATCGAAGGTCGTATTATCAATAGAGGTTGTTGAAATATTAACGCCATAACGATCCTAAATGTAATCACCGTTATATATGGTTTCACGCACAAATTAAAGTTGACTCACTTGGAAATGAATTCTACCAGAATCAACCCATCCAATACCGATGTCAACTGACATGCTTCCTAGACAGTAAGTAATTGTTTAGGTATTACAACTGATATTCTATAAATTCGATACTGGGCGAAACGA